TGTATCCTGGGCTCTAAAATAAACCTCTGTCAGGCTAAAGAAACCTCACTCAAATTCAGGAACTGTTCCTCTGCTGACAGACCATTTCCAAAAAGAGTTTAGATTTAAGTGAGATTTGTCCAGTTGTTCACTTGATTTATTTTTTTTTTCCCTCTGCTTCATATCTTCTGTTTTGCTGGGATTAAAAGGCAAACGGGAATTCAAGGTTGAAGGGTTTTGTGGATGGAGTCTGTTTGGAAACTGATATGAAAAAAGAAAGCCATAGAAAGAGAAAAAATACCTAGAGAATCCCAGCCTGGTTTGGGTTGGGAGGGACCATAAAGCTGATCTCGTCTCACCCCCCTGCCGTGGGCAGGGACAGGTTCCACTAGCCCAGCTTGCTCCAGGGATTGACTGAATGGCATCAGGGAGGTAGTTCAGCCCTTGCTTTCTTTTTAAAGAGGCCGTGTGGCTGTTACTGGGTTAAGATAGTGCTGTTAAAAGTGCATCACGTCCTGCTTAGCAGCATCACTCAGCTGAGAAACTGTCCTCAGGCCACGCTTGGTTTTGTGGGAGTGAAATGCTGGTGCTCGTTTTCAGGAGTACCTGACTCCAGCCTGCAAAAGGTGTAGGGAAATTAATGTCAGGTGCAGCAATGGCAGGGTGGGTATTAAATGCTCCCCAGTAGCTTTGGAGTGGAAATCAGCTCACTCTTTGTTTATAAAATGCTCTGTGGGCACATGACACACACGCACCTCAGACCTGTGTGGCGGGACAGCCTGACGCTGAATTTCCATCCCCACAGCATTGCTCCGTGTCTCCCGAGCTCTGGAATGAGAGCAAAGGTCAGGCCCTGCTGCCAGCACCCCGCACCAGGTGGAAAGGAGGCCAAAGTGCAGCCCTGAGCCCGTGTCACGGGGCTGTGGAGGGGGCAGCACCTGTTGGGGCGAGCTTTGCAGTTGGTTCTCCCTGCGCCGGATTGTTCCCCCTTCTTGCTGCTGGGAATGGGAATGGGAATGTTCCATCCCGAGGGGTTTTACCAGCGTTGAGAAGAACCCTCCCTGGCTGTCTGGCTGCGTGCCAGCCGCTGGATGTGGTGTGGGGCTTTGGAAGGAACCCTTTTCCTGGGCTGCAGGCTGAAAGCAGCTTTGGCAGGGGCTCAGCCCGGATCTGCACGCAGGGATCCTCGGGGTGAAGTGCAGGGTCGCTGGAGCAGGACTGGGGTTCATTCATGTGCTGAGAGATCGTCAGGCCCAGCACGATTTCTGAGCAGAGAAGGGAGATTTATGAGCCAGCAACCTGTGGGCAGAACTTGCTCGTCCCGTGCTCC